TCTCTTTCGTACAATTTTCTTTGATTCATGAAATGTAACATAATTTATTACACATAGCTTATAACATCATGGCTATTATTTCTGATTACTTTGATTGAGAGAAAGAAGAATCAAATGTTCTTACCAGTAGCAGATCCAGACGATGGCATTGTCTTGGTTTTTGCTTTCATTTGCTCGCTTTGAATAGACTTAACGACATCAGTAGGTAACGTTAAAGTACTCCTGGCCAATAGATTCGTAGGTGAAAACGTTTTCACGTCCACTTTCTTTATTTTGTCCTGTACATCATCGATATCATAATGACATTTTTCTTTTTCATTCTCATCTCTCGATTGGGTCTCTGAAGAATCGTTCTTCTTCATTGATTCCATTAGTTTCTTTTTAAATATGAAAAGTCCAAGAAAGTAAAAGCGTTATGTTTCGTCATGTACATCTCGATAAAGACTCCATGATTTATCTTGTTGAACTCTGTCACACTTGATTAAAGCAAAACATTATTTTGACATTTTGAAATTTAATAGCTCATTGATGAAAATTTAATAACTCTTTAAAACGTTATCATAATAAATTACTTTAATGCATAAAATTACAATTGCAACTATATAAGTATTATATGAATTATGTTAAAATCAACAGCATTTATGCCGCGATTTAAAAGTATTAAAATTTTTAACAAAGAAAATGGAAATGATTTAAAATGATCTAAGCTGCTTCTAAATGCTGCTTCTTAATTTTATAAACTAAATATGTAACTATGATATATCAAGATGCAAAATTAAAATTTTGTTTAAAATCTTGAAAATTAAGACAAGTAAAAATTATATAGTAAATAATTCTTTATATTCGAAAAATTCATTTAGAAATTTTAGAGCATAAAATAATGTAAGATGTCAAGTATAAATATAAAGTATAGAAAATAATTCTATTAATCATATTTTTAAATATTGTAAAAAATTTCGAGATCAAATTTTTTCAAGAGAAAAAGTAATTAAACACAAGATATTAGACAGATTGCACATTATTTTAATATTACCCCTTTTTAAATGTTTTATTTCTTTTCATTACAAAGTTATTTTTGCATGTATATTATGTCTTCTAAAATCGAAAATCAAAATAAGCACTGTAAAAACTAGTGCTTTGTGCTGTTATACGCGAGAATTTATCATCATTTATTTGCATTGCATGGTTTACAAATCTAGAAAGCGGGACGCATTAGAATATGTCGTATTATAGTGTACTCGCTCTCAATTACTTTCTCCATATACTTTCACTTTTGTCCCTCAATAAATATATTTGACAGATTTAAACTCAGCTTTATGTGCAGAAACGCACTACGCTAAATTTAGCTAAAAAGTAGGAAAAAGCAAGATCAAAGAATCTTAGTATTTATAAATAAAATTTTTAAAAAATGTCTAACTTTAGTTTTATCTCTTAAAAAATAGACGTGAATGCCAATTAAAAACTATTCTTAGATCCGACATATTTCAACATTGTTTTTATATTCAAAGAGTATCAAGATACAAAAATAATCCGAAAATTGCGTAGCCTCGTCGAAGAAAATATCCAAAGAAATTTTAAAAGTATTATTTTTTATTTTTATTAGTATTATTATTTTAAAATTATTTTACGTTAAAATTATCGTATTTAAAATAGAGTATGTTCTTCATAGAAATCTTTATTATAAATTAAATATATTTTGAACCTCAAAATATTTTTAAAATTCTAATGTTTTCTTCGCTCAAAAAGAGAAATAAATATTGAAACTAAAGCAAAATATACAAAAAATGTGAGATTAATCGAACAGTATGTAATCAATGATTAAATCAGAAAACGTAGATTAAAGGTACTTTAGGATAACGTTTATCTGATAACATAGTTATGTACATAAATAACATTTTCTCGTTAAAAAGTGTAACATCTCGTTTTAATCATGTCTTACTTTTATACTCATGCTTATATATTATTCCAGCTATAAAAAGATAAAAAAATAAAAATATTTTGACAATAAAATAAAGTAAAATAAAACTGCAAGATATAATAAAATTAAAAAAAAACGTAAATTTACATTTTTCAATAATTTATTTTGCCCTGCATAACTGCTTGTAACTTGTAATGAAAAAAGAATTACAAAAAAAAATTTTTTTTAAATATTCCACTATAGTAAAAAATAAATTTAAAAAATATTCCAATATTTTCCATACAGCAAAAACGTAATATCGAATGATATGTATTTAAGAATTTATGTTTAGAACATTTTACGACATAAAATGTTCTATTAAGAACAATAAGACTTTGATTCTATCGTGACTTATCTTGAAAGTCTTACGATGGCATTTTTGCGCATTAACAAATTTGCGCAAAACATTAAATACTCTTTGTCGAGTTAAAAGGCAGATGGTTGCGACGCAACATTCGGTGTTCTACTACTCAGTGAAAAGCGAGTTTTCCTGCAGGCGTCTTCTGGACAATTTAGGTCTTATTGTTGAATGTAACATTAAACGAGGTATCCCTACATCTTATTTATCTAAACGTTTATATTATATACATTTAAAAAAGAAATAACTATATAATTTGAAATAAAAAATTGTTAGATGCATTCGAAGGATATATATATATATATATATATATATATTGATTTTGTTTATCATTTGTTATTTATGAATTTCTCAATACAACAGTCTTATGAGACTTGTGCACTTTGTGTTCATACTCTGACAGGTATTTATTTATTTATTTATTTTTTTATGAGTAGCAATCAAGCAAGTGTTGTTTATACTTGATACTTCAACTAATTGTAAATAATAATTGTTCCATTTTAGGTTCTTTTGCACGAATAATTGCCTTTAAAATAAGGGTTGATAGTATAAAAAATAAGCGTATATAAAAATAGAAAATATCGTTTGTAAAAAGTGACAAGTTTTCAATTTTTTGAAGAAAAAATATTTTATTTTTTTTGTAATACGTATAATCAATAAACAGATAATGCATTGAAAATTTATGTATTTCTTATATAAACAATAATGCACAAAACTCTGATATTTTACGTTATAAAAAAAAGCAAAAAAATAAATTTACATCTTTGAAATAAGAATGTATCTGCGAAATATGTATATAATCTTATTCTCCTATCAATAAGTGATAAATAATTACTACTAATAAATAATTAACTGACAATAAATTATTAATAAACAATTACTAATGATAAATTACTAATAATAAATAGGTTATTGTCCCAAAATTAATATTATTATTAAAAATTCAATTATAAGTTGTACATCTTTATAGCTTAATTTTTAATACACATGTCACAAAATAATATGTATTTTTTTATTATATATATTACATTTAATATTACTAAAATATAATATATATTAAAAATAATATAATGCAATCACAACTCAATATAAATTTTGAACAAATTCAATTTTTTCTGAAAGTGTTTCTTAATTTCCATCGCTAAAATTATAAATGTTGAGGGAATGTTATTTTTGAACGATTACAACATCGAAACTCACCAGAATTTATATTTCAATCCTTGTTCGCGGCATACGTGAAACATGCGAACTCAATCCCAGATTAGGTTATTTATCCAGCAGACCGACAACCTACGCACGCGACAATCGCCAAGAAAATTTGAGGGCGGTAAATGTCTGACATACAGAAACACAAATGTCACGTAATTGCCACGTATTAGGACACACGCGTGCGCTCCGCTGGAAAGGTTAAATGGCCTCGAAAATCGCTTGTGCTCAAGTCCGTGATCGACGCATTTCGGAGGTTAGGTTCTGGATGTGCTCCGTCTAGTTGCTCCGTCTTACGGTCAACTTCAGCAGTGTTGCGGCAAGGCCGTACAATAAAAATAAATGAACTGTCTTATTAATGATATCTTATTAATGATAGATGTTGATTCAATCTTTCATTTTATATTAGCTTTTTCTTTTAAATTTTTTATTAAATTTATCAGTTGATACAAAGATAAGTTCTATAAAATGACTAAATGTAAGTAAAATGTGCGTAAATAAAGTAGTGCGTATTATGAATGTTATTATTAAATTTTAAATATGGAATTCTCCATTTCTTGAACATAAACAATTCTGCGATGCAATAGATATTTTTTATACTCAAATTATTAAAACTATAAAATGAAGCTAATTAAAACAAATTATGAAAAGTAAATTAAATACGTTATATGAAAAAGAAATACATCATTTTTCTTATTTATATTTTATTGAAATATATATTTGTGTTATATAATAATATTAATTACAATTATTATATTACTTTACATATATGTATAATTTTTTGAAATTCGTTGAAAATAAATAGCTTTGTAGAGCAATAGATATATATTTTAAATTAAGCTAAATATAATATACGAACAATAAATTAAATGGATCATACTAAAAAATACATAAATTTTCTTACTTATATTTTTATTGAGACGCACAAACACATAAAATATATTGAAATATATGAACAATATAAATTAAATGCGTCATATAAAAATATATAAATTTTCTTATACATTCATTGAGAGAGAGAGACACACAAAAACATAAAAAACATAAATCTACAAATAATTATTTTTATTTATTTTAAAATCTTTCTCATAAATCAACTTTTATTTATTGTTAATTTAATGATTAAACTCACTAATTACTAAATATACTGTTCGTTGCGAGAGAAATTTCTAATTAAAACATATCTCAAAATTTAATTAAGTTTCTACATTTCCCAATATCAGAAAGTCCCATGAAATCGTCAGGAACCTGAACCATTGAAATTTACTGAAATCACGGACTCTCGAAGGGCATCCTGTACATTCGAATACAAAATCGAGGGTGTGGCAGAATTCAAAACCGCTCCTGAACTTTCCATGATTCACGAAGCCGCTTCATCCCGCGCTCGAGGCCGTTAGATTCGGTTAGATTCGTGACACATCGGAACAGCTCGGGCAGGAGTCGAACCTGACCCGATCTGTGTGAAGTGAGTCGCGCGCGCGGAGCCGACGGAGTACAGTGAACGGCGGTGGTGGGTAATTTGTGTTCGTGTCGGCGCATCGTTTCTGTGCAAAAAGCCAAGTCTACGACAGCACTCGACGCTCGACGCCAGTCATCGCTTGATGTTCGGAAAAATCGGCGATCACGTCTTAAGTCGCAACGATACGGAAAAGAAGAAAGAGACAGACGTCAGGAAATAAAAAGAGTACAATCAGATTCCCGTGATATTGTCAATGAATTCCGGTTTAAATCGTTCGCTCATTCCGGTGAGTATTCTGCGTGATCCACCCTATGGAATTTACGGAAGGAGCAGGGCGAGGGGAGGAACCGGATTGTTCTTTAGTCTTGAACACAATGAAAAGCACACGTAGCAGAAATTTCAACAGATTTCGACTTCTCAGAAATGTACTAGAATGCACGGTTTCTGATAGGTTGAAATCTGTACTCACCGTTTCTATCGCCCGTATTTTTTATAAAAAGATTTTTCCGATGTGCGAGTTGACGCGGCACGCCGGTAATCTCTATTTGCGTAAACGATTAGTGAGCATTTCGCTTCCGTCGACTACTCGTGCAAGGGAGCGGCACGGATAAAAATCGACCGTGGTTTGCAGACGCACGAGATAATAGCCCAAAATACAATTGAAAAGCACAGATAATAGGAACAGAAAATAAGAAGTTTCTATCTATCTGAAATCATATACTAGAATGTTTATTTCTGTAATTTTCACCTTATTTTATGATACACAATCCAAGATGTCTTATGCCCATTTTCATTAATATAAATTAACTTTAATCTCGGTTCAACTTATTCTTTGTTTTTTTCTAGTTTTAAAGATTAGAAAAAGATGAAGAGTAAGTTGAACTGAGATTGAAGTTAATCTACGTTGGTGAAAATGGACATTAAAAACATTTTTGCAAAAGATGTCTTAAACCTTAAATATAATGAAAAGCACAGGAACAGGGAATAATAGATTTCAACTTATCAGAAACCATGTATACTAAAATGCACGGTTTCTGATAGGTTAAAATCTATTATTCCCTGTTCATATTGTTTGTGCTTTTTATTGTTCAAGACTTTCAATTTAAAATACAATTGAAAAGTAATAGGAACAGGGAACAACAGATTTCAATCTATCAGAAATCGTGTACAATGGAATGTACACTTTATAATTTTCACTTCATTTCAAGATATACAATCAACTCCAAAATGTTTTAAAAACATTTTTGCCAAAATTCGTCTCAAGCCTGAAACATAATTGAAAATCATAAACAATAGAAACAGAAAATAAACGGATTTCAATCTATTAAAATATCATTGTGTATATCAGAACACACGATTTCTGATAAATCTGAAAATAGCTATTTCCTGTTCTTATTTCTTTATCTACTTTTTAATTGTATCTTAACTTAAGATAAATATATTGTATGTAAGGCTAATTAATAAACAATTAGTAGATGTGATTCAATTATTGGACGAAATTTGATTCAAATTTTAAATATTAAAAATAAATATTTTAAATTTAATGACATTCACGACTCTAAATAAATTTGTTTATAAAAATATATAATATTATTTAAAATAAAAATAAAAATAAAAATCGGTCATGAAG